GGTTCAGCGTTGTGTTGTGCCTAGAGTCATTCAACTATAGGCTGAACCTCTTCTTTGCAAAGTATGAAGCAATATAGTATTTTCAGTACATTTTCTCATGTATATTCGGTGTTCTATTGGGATCATTTCATTTTGTGTACTAGTTTCCACAGTTATGAGCAAATGCCGATTATGCTGCTGCTTCATGTTGCAGAGTAAATTTATTTCACAGTACTATTCACCGGTAGAGAACGCAGCTCTTCTTCCTGTGTTTACTTTGTCCTTCCTGCTCCATACTTCTTTAACCAATGAGCAAAGGGAATGTTCTCACATGATTTGTAACTGATGCAGTTTTGGTTCAGTTGGACTTTTCTCTGTGTGAAAGGAAAACGAGCCAAGGGGAAAATGGAACAAGTTTACAAACTGGTCCACCGAGTCGCACTATTGCAAATGAATTACAGATGTGAAAACGCCCTAAATCAGGATTTATCATCTGGGGACCATTAATGTCATGTACAAAATCCATTGTTGTTGAGTAGTTGAGCCATTTCAGTGTGGACCAAAGTGGACCAGCAGACAGTCTGACAGACCAGGACTGCCATCCATGAGACCTGCTGCTACATGGTTAAACAGTGTAAGCACCAGGGTGAAATCAGGACAACATGCAGCAGTGACTACTATTGTGGCTCCTAGGAGTGTTATGCTCTATTCAGAGGTATTGATTGAAGCCAAGGTTGTCCTCCTCCTTCAAATGAGAGAGACCTGTAACTGGCTAGAGAGACAGAAAACATTTGGCTGCCAGAGGACAGGATTCTGAAAGAACTCAATACTGTGTGGATCCTGTTCCTCTTTATTGTGCCTTTGCTGCCAGTTTCCTCCCGGCTTATCAGACAGCACTTTGACAGGCCGTCACTGCAAAGCATAAAAAGAATCCCATTAGTCTTAGTGTTTCATCCTCAGTTTTACTCAAGAGCTCAGTGCTTTGGAAAGTGCAAGAGCTCCGAGAAGGTCATTTCAATTATAATGTGCCTTTTAAGAGCTGTAATCTGTCTAATGACTCCTATTGGGCTCCACAATGAAGCAATATGCCATAAAATATCAATACATAGAGGATATTCTATTTTCACAGAGCGAGTCACATATCACTTTCGCTCCACGGATTTGGGGGTTTTAAAATAATTTTGGCTTTCAGAGGGCAGATAAATCAATTTAGTTTCTCTTTCTCTCTGTGTTGCATGAGGGTGCGGTAAGAAAGTCATTAGTGGAGCGAACAGTTAATGGTATAGTAATACAGAAAGCATCTGTTCAAGTGTATTAGGAAGAAGAATCATGATTCCCTTGTGATAGTTAATAGGTGGAAAAAGTATTTACCGTTTGCTGTGAAACATCCTGTTGTCTCTGTGTGGTTGTGGCATATTAGCATGTTTATAGTTCATACTGATAAAATGATTGGGCTGTTACACAGCTTTGAATCAAGCTCTACATACGAGTCCACACTTCTACATGCTCACACTAACATAGACTAAACATGTTTGGTACCTGTGGTAACTTAAGCCTTGTATAGATCAGTGTGTTGCAGAACAATGTGATTTACAGTGACAACATACACAGGCCATGTGATTCAGCAAGGTGCTATGTGAAAAAACAAACAGAGCAAAGCAGCTTCTACAAACCTGTATTTCAGTGAGACTATCATAGCCTTGATCATATGCACTGTGTTGTATATGCTCAATATTCACTCCCTGAAGTTTTAATTGTATCAGTAAATCAAAACCAAACTCCTGCTGCACTGTACAAACTGTTTATGTCGGGTTGTTTTACTGTTTTATCTTTCAGAGTGATCTTTTAGAGAGTTCCCCAGTGTGTTTCTGCTCTGCTACTAAAACACTGTTGAATTTGTAATAGAAAACAAGATATAGCAGTTCTCAATAAGGGTCAAGCTCCAAATACTGGATCCCAACGTCCCATAATCCAACCAGATAGGCTTTTAATTAGATCATCCATGCCAGTGTTGTTCAAATTCAGCGCACCCATATTTCAATGCAAGCTTCCCAGCCCAAACCATCAGGGCTTATTATGTCAGGTTTAACCACGTTCCTCATGAGCCACACTCAACGTTATGCAGCTGTTTTCACACACAAAGAAATGTTAGCCATGACAATAAACTGATCTTGATGGGTAAAACTGGTGGAGAATCAGATCATTGTTGACTGTGCAGCAGCAATGGTTGTTTTGTTGGACCTGATCCAGCTTTGTTTCAAGCCCATAGACGTTAGGTTTACAATACCTGGTAACCTGTGAAGGAACCTGCTTTCACAAAGCTTGCTAAAATATAACTATCGTCTCAGCTTTTGTCTCCACCCTTGTTCAACAACATTCCAATTTGTGGATGCTTTTATCTGTAGTGTTGTATGCATACTTGTCACTGGAACTAATAATTGCCAGAGGCTTTTATTATAAAGGGGAAATGAAACCAAATAGAAAAAGGGCTGCAAATAACAAGGCACCTCTTTCTCTACTGGTTTGAATGCAGTTACATAATAGGATATATCAGATCTTGGTGTCTGTAGAGCTCAAGCCCAAATGCACATGGTTCAATGTGTTGCTGGGGTCAGAGCCAGCTGTTTTCCAGATGGATGATGGGAGCGACCCTGCACAAGCAGTGACCTTCAGCTTAGAGTCAGAAAACAGGATAGCAATCATATAGCAAATGTTAGTTCTGACACAATCTAGCTTAATTTGCATATGGGTCACAGCTCTTGAAGCCATATTTTTATTATCAGTATCATCAGTGAAGTACCGGCTGCTAGAATTGTGTAGCTTCCTGGATCACCAGTAGATGGCACCCTTTGCTTTACAGTAGTGGAGCTAAGTGAGTGGTCCTGCTGCTGTGTGTGCCGGCTTTAATAAATAAGATTTTTCTTTTGTCTGTATTGGACGTATGGGCTTGGATGGCAATTTAGATGCCTTCAGAGAAAAGGAAGGGGACCTGGCTCCAGAAATTTTAATGATCAAACGCAGGGTCTGGCAGCAGTTATCCAAGTTTAACAATAGTGAAGGTCCCCTGACAGCCCCCTGCAGATCTGTGTTTGTTCCACATGGCATTTCATGTTTAACAGATGGTTACTTTTTTGCCTTTTTATGCTATTTTCATGAAGAAGTAAACCACCATTGTTTCTCGGTTTGTTTTTTGGGTAAATCAAAGGCAGCTGTAAACGTGTGAATAGTGGAGTTTCCTCTCTTTTATCAACCAGGATTCTCTGTGGTGCTCCCACAGACACGTCTGAAAAATAGTTGAATATGTTTGTTTTCTGAAGTTCACATTAGGAGAGAAAAGCACTGATTAGGTTTGCTCTCAAATCAAAGACATCAACTTTTTACCCACTTCAGTTTCTTATGTTTTCATGCAATCACTCTTTTCTCTTGCCTTTCTGTTCTCTCTCTCTGTCTTCCTCCTGTATTCACATACAGACCAGCTGAGTGATTAGTAAGTGTCTGTCACTTCAGTCTCAGACTCACTCAGACACTGTCTGATTGGACATCGGAGCTTGTTGCGGGTCCCTCAGCAGGCTGTCATATTACTGTGGCGATTGCTGCGGTGCCATTTTTGAGACAGAATTGGCCTGGCCTTTTTGTGATGGCAGAATTGGGCCTGTCAGCCCTGGTGGACCAGAGGCAGTGGGATGATTTCACGACATACTGGCTTCTTTGTTTCATCCTCAATCAGATTCTGTCTGACAGGGTTCGTCGATACTGATTAACGTAAGCATCTCTTGTGGGGGACAAAAAGCTGCTGTTTGTCCTCTCTCTCCTTCTCCTGCCTCATGTGGCACTCATCCTCATGTTAGTCATCACCTGTCACATTAAAGCCAATTTTCTTAGTCACATCCACCCTGAGATCATATAGATGGTAAATACTGGGTACTGAACTTTGAAAGTACTGCCCAACCATTTTAAAACAATGCTGAATGCTGTCATATATATATACTCCTGTGTTAACTCAAATTTAGTATTTTATACTGCAGTTTATTTACACAGAGTTCTAGTTAAGCTGTTTGTGTTGTGACAGCATTAAACACTGATGAACTTGAGATGTTAGGCAGGTTTTGTTTTGCTCAATCTAAGAAGGAACCTTTAACCAATGACACTGTGCATTGTAAATTATGATATAGAGAGAAGTATCATTTTGGTTTGGGTTAGAAAACCTAAGTATTATATTGACACTGGTGTAAAAAAGGATGCTCAGTGTTGATATGAGATCACACTAGGCTACAATCACTGTTTTAAATGACACTGAATATCTTTGTTGCTTTAATAGTCGGTATCTGGGAAAAACTGGATTTGGTTTTTTGTGTTTGGAATAACACTTGTGTGTAATGAGGAGATACAGTACAGCAGGTGGACTAGCCTGGTGTCTGGACCGTTCCCAGGTCTAAGTGAGATTGTAATCACGGAAGTTCTCCAAAACCTGGCTGGCACAATGCCTCTTTATGCCAGTTGGGCCGGGTGTCCACTCCATTTCAGTGCGGCACACAAAACCGCACACGCTGCTCATGCCAACTTGAATCAGCGGCTTTGTGCTGCAGGTAAACAAAATACCATGTGTATCAAACAACACATATTTAAGAGAGACACATTTGACATGGCTCATTGTGGCTGAAGCCAAGTTGAAATGATACTGTTCTGCCTCTGCCAACATTGAAAAGCTGTGAAATGATTAACGATGATGAAATGATTAAACCTTACTACAGCATCTCTACCACCTGCTACTGTTTGATTATCATCTGACAGGGATTCACTGTCCATACCCGCTGCCCTTGCTGTTACAAAACAAATGACACGCCAGCTCAGCCAAATGGAGCGCAGCCACAGAGATGCTGTGTTTCTACTGTGGTGTAGTTTGGGCTAAACAGAGTGTGACAGACCACAATAAACTTCTTAATCATGGAGTGATGCTCCGTCCCACCCACACCTGATGAGTGTCACGTGCATTTGGCCAATCAAGAGCTAATGGTACCAATTTGAACTATGTGGTGCTTGAATTGGGCATCACTTGGTTAGTGGGATGACCACATAACCGGCCAGTCACAGGTGCTGAAAACCACTTTCAATGACCCTGACCACATAACCGGCCAGTCACAGGTGCCGAAATGTGTCATGTGATGAACAGCAACTCTTCTTAACACGTGAGCAGGTGCATCTGTGACCTGAATCACCCAGTGGAAGGACTGTAAAACAAAGACATAACGATGAGCTACATGCTGAAGTGAAAATGTCAGTGTGACACCAGTAATGTGGCGGATAAATATTGTCGCCCGTCACTCTTGTCTTCCATCACTCAGAATAAAATGGTGGTAAATGCAGCAGTGGCTCAACATAACTAGAAGAACGAAGAATGAGGGGTCTGAATAACAAGTAAAGCCACAGTGTATTTTAGGAGGTATGGTGTGTAGGCTCGGATGTTATCAGGTCTGAGATGTGGGAAGGAGATATAGGCTGAACATGTTATTCTCCAGTCACTGTTACTGACCACTGCAATGTCTATTCTGCCATGACACATTTATCTGTGAACCCCAGAGGCAGTGAACAGCAAAGTTAGAAGGAGTTAGAGAGCAGAGAAGTCTTGGCACCGAGTAACATTCTGGCTGCTTTATGCCTGAAAGTACAGCTGTTTTAAATGTACAGCTGAATATTGAACACTACACTTTTTGGTACCAAACAGAATATGTCTGTTTTTCAAAAGATTATCAAAGGCTGTTGAATGTCTCTTCAGGTTTTTGATTTGATCAAAAAATATGTTTCTAAGTTAGCGTTTTTGGCACCTTGGGTATCATGTCAGCACTTGTATTGTGTCCTGTTTAATTGTAGTTGTCATCCCCACGCAGGTGTATTTTCTAAACTGTCGTATGGTTGGCTTGCTATTGACAATGACAGGTGCCAAAAGGACAGCAGCTGTGTGTTTGTCTGGGCTTCACCAAGTCCCCAAACACTCTTCTAAATCATGTTATTTACACAAAGCCTTGAAAAATGTTCATATTTTAGAAAATGTGGAGGAGTTGTCATACATCTTTGTCACTTTTCCTTAGATCTAAAGTTATTTTTTTCATTTCATACTCGTTTGGTGATTTAATCTAAAATGACATTAACGAGATCTTAAAAAGTGTTAAAGTTAACTTGATTCAACTCACAAATATCCATTTTTCTCCTTCCAGCCGGCCCTCACTTATGTGGAATAAGAATCAGCAGGGACTCTAAGCTGTCAAATGTACCGTCTGAAAGCATATATCCTGAATAGTTTGGAATACCAACATCTCTGAATTAGCCCGAGCCGCTTATCCTCTCTCTGCCTCTTTCCTTCCTTCAGCTGCTCTCAATGAATGGCGTCTTTACCGAGCTCACAGACAATCAATCAACCGTGTGCTGTCTCTGGTGGCCCACTGTCTCAGTCAGACAGTTCTGGATGGGGCCGGGGGTGGTGAGGGGTCTAGTGCTATCAGGGGACATCTCAGAGTACATCTGTCTCACACAAGTGAGACTGACTTGGGTTTTCTCAGGGGCACATTGTTACTTACATTCCTGGAGATAATTACACCTTGTGTTCAATCCTTGATCTGTCATTATTCCTTCATCTTTATTTTTAACTTGCTAAATAATATCACTGATACTAGTCCTGCTGCTGCAGCTGTGTTTGATTGTCTTTGACGTTTAACTGTGGTAAATCTGAGACGGATCATTTATTATATAAAGAAGGGTTTGAACATGTCAAATTCTCTAATACAACTTTCCAGTTGAATAACAGACCTATAGAATAACAAAACTGACCACTACGTCTTGGGGAGAAAAAATTATTGTAAAAAATGCCATAAAATTGTAATTAGATTGTTTTATGAACTATGCTATGTGACATGGTCCTCCAAAGTTGATTTCTGTGCAGTGGCCCTGGAAGAAATCTCCCTTCTTATCAGGGGATCTTACTTTTTTATCAGTTTTGTGATTTCCAAGGTCATTACAGATCCAGACAGTTTAAACTCAACCCTTCAAAGACTAAACTTCATCACTGAAACTGATTTGAGCCACATCTGGTTACCTGGCTAACTGTCAGGCTTTCATTAGTCAGATAAATACTAGCCTGATTATTTTTCTTTTACACAACATTTAAATTGGTCCCTCTGCTGTCTAAAATGATTTCTTTAAGAGTTGGTACCCAAATGTCATCATAAGGTCACAGTTCTTGATCTGTACAAAACAAGGTCCAAAGTGCAGCATAGATGTTCATGCACAACTATCACACTGTGTGGTTTTTGTTTGTTGTTTTTAATGAAGGGTTGAAGCTGTTCTTTCCTGCTGTCTGGGTTGCAGGTTGATACATGGAGGTCAGTTTCTGAATGGTTTAGCCGGCCCAACCATAATGAGCGCCGGCCCCTACCTCTCCACCACATGGTTCGCTCCTGACCAGAGAGCCACCGCAACAGCAGTGGCCACTCTCTTCTCCTACTTGGGAGGTGCTGCTTCGTTTGTGGTGGGACCTCTGGTAGTGCCAGCCCCCAATGACACCCAGGCAATGACCACAGTGGCGTTTTCCAACAGTTCCATCCGAGACAGGATCCAGCTGGTTATGTATACAGGTACTAACAGAAGCCAGAACCTCTGAGGGCCTGGACGATCGATAACACATTGTTTCAACATCATGTCAGGGGCACAAAGGGACACAAATACAGTCGAGCGAGAGGATCCAAGAATTTTGCACAAACACCAAAAAATTCCAATCATAACATTAATAATTGCCTCTCTAAAAAATAGATTGCTGGGACTGTTATGCTTAACTGAGTCAGAAAATTAAAAGCGCACTGCAAACAGAAACAAGCGTGCTGTATTAGATTGAGGCTGCAGCTTTTGTTTAACCGGAGGTAGTACTCTTATTCATTCTTTAAGGACAAAGCAAGAAACTTCTGTAAACCAGAAGTTTTGGGGCTTATCAAGGAAATGGGCAAACATGATGTAAATTAAAATCTGCATGGTAACAACCAGCTACATCTTTATATCAGGAACTAATAGGCAGCTGCTGCTTGATCCGTCCATGTGTTATGTAATGAAAGGGACATATGCAATGGGGCTTTTTGGAAATAACCAAACTGTAAAATGTGTGGCTTCTCCAAAAGAAATAAGTTAAGATATTAACCAGTGCTATGCCAGACTGCATGACTGATATGGACATGTTGTCCAGTAAGCCATTATGTTTATTCCAGGGATGGTTTTAGAGGACTTTCAGACATTTTTTAAAATGTCAGAATGCTCTGACTGTGACTGTCTTACTAGAGAAAATAACACGTATGTCTCTTCTGTCTGTGTCACTGTGCTCCGGCAGAATTGGCTGCAATTGCTGTGCTTTTTGTGGCAGTCCTGGTCTATTTCCCATCTCACCCACCAGTGCCTCCCAGTGTCGCCGCTGCAAGCCAGAGACTCAGTTACAGGAGCAGCATCTGCAGACTTCTTAGGTAAATTTTAACACACATGCTAACGCACATCACAAGAATGTAAAGGCACAAAGTCAACTGACAGACCAGTAACTGTCAGACACCATTCTTTCAGTCCATTATTTCGTATGCCTGTATTGATGTGTCCTTGATTCACTGTGGGTGTAGATGTGTAAAGCAAGCGAAACGTCAGCGCTGCATTTGAAATTACTTTCAGGTGCTCTGTTGTTTTATGACAGTAGACTTGAAGAGAGCTGTGAGGAGCAGGTTTAATTGGGATTCTTATTTGCAGATGCAATGCAGCTTCTTGTTTTAGTGAGTTAAAGTGCTCGAGAAGGATTCACTTCAGTTCAATAGAGTATTTTAAACACAGTTGATCCAAAGTGCTTCACAGCACACAGAGGAAAGCAAACAACAAGGATCACTAGTTTGCCTCAAGGGGCTTCAAAAACTGTTCTGCATACCTTCTGACCTTAGACCCTTGAAGCAGAGGATTGAAAGCTATGGAATCTTAATGAAGGGAAGGGGTCTGCCACTCACCAATCTTCTTGGGATATTATCAGAGAAACCCCAGCCTCCCTTCTCAATTAATTAGTGAGATATAATACACTAGTTACTGTTGAAAGCTACATCATACTCTGCATCTGTATCATCAGGGTCAGTTATCAATGTATTCTCAAGACATCACTGATGCATGTAGTTAAAGAGAGAGATGATCTGTTATGGCAGTGACCAGGGCTTAAAGGGCTGGAGAAGGGAGAAGATAAGTGGGACGATGGCAGCTAGGGAAGTGGCCTAGCTTAGTTTGCTACATTTGGAAGAAATAGCTTCACTGCACCACCAGGCTTTCCACAGGTTTCTCACCAGCGCAGAGCGGCTTGAGTCCCGTTAGAGCTCCCTCAGCTAGATGACCAAGCAGATATCATCTGAATGCATTTTGGACAGAGATGTACACACAGAGGCTTGCCAACGTAACTAGGCCATCCAGCTGAAAGGGTTTCTGTTCCACTTGTGATAGGCAGCCTTCCAGTGACCTGTTTGGGCAGCATCAAGCCTTAAACTTCTCCCACAGCGGCTGGACATGACGCAGGAAAAGTGACTTTCATGTCTTTGTGTCCATGTTTCCTCATACAACACGTAGGTGAAATGATGGAATCACTTAAAGCTCCACAAATTGATATTGTATGTAGGAATTTAATTAACTGATGCTGTTATGTGAAAGTGGTTGCATGTAATGGAAAGCTCACAGAAAAAGATTGGTAACTCTGCAGCTCTGCACCGCTTTTCAGCCTTGTTTAGCTCATTGTTTTGGTTTTCCAGCACACTGTTGGGTGCAGCTGTAGAAGGAATCTGTTACAAAAAACAATGAATGCATCTTAAAGTAACATAAATCTCAATTGCAAACTCTGCAACAGAAGTGGATTATTGTTATCCAACTACTTTGATTTCATTATTTCATGCTTGGTTTTTTCTCGCTACATCTTTCAACCCTTTGTAAATACTTACTGAATACACTCAAGCTTCACTACCAGGTGGAGACAGATTGATAAAGTTTAAGAATTCACCAATCTGGCATTTTCTCTCCCAGTAGAATACATCAGTTTAGGGTATCTGCTGATACAGTGTCTCAGTCCAGGACTGGTGCCGATTTTGTTGTTTTTGTAGTGTACCACAAATTTTGAACTAGTTTGGATCAGTTTTACATAAAGTATCATCAGGATTGCTATGAGACTTTAAATGATGTTGGTAGAATGTCATGACCTAATAAATGTAGCACAGAATTTTTTAGTGACCTTGATAAAGAGAGAGTACATTTAAATTGAGTTGGTCACATTTGGACAATACCTGTTTTGGTGCTTAGTATCTGCTCTGGTGGAGTCAGTGGATTGGATCAATACATTGTTAGTAAAGTTAGTATTTGTTGGAGGAACATGGCAGCATTTTGCAGCCTCCGTGATGACAGCAAGCGGCAGCCAACTAGTTAGCCAGCCTATCCATTGATGTATTTCTTCATTCATTTAGCCTGTCATGGTCTGAGCACCGGTTAATGATCTTCAGCTTGATGAGTGCTTCCAGCTGTTCACATCTGCTTCCACAGCAGCAATCTAATTAGGAGGCTGAAAATCTCTCCATGTGATGTAAAGTTGTCATTGTATTCTGATCACAGTCTGAGGGAATGCTCAAGTCTGATGATCACTTCTCCATTCAGATTCAATTTACCTTTGATAGTTGTCACTGATGCCCTAGCCGGGTCTGCCAAGGCCAAATGGCACTTGGCTGATGATGCTGCCAGCCCTGAGACTTCTTCAGAAATATTTTATGGCCAGGGAATTAAAAAACATGGCCCCTCTCTTACCCAGTAGCTAGCATCTGCTTGCTTACATTGGGCTATCTAAATAAGCTCCCAGTCAGGGCTAAAGATGCATAGATATTGATTTCCTGCTTTTGCAGCAAGGTTAATGAAAAGGGCGCTTGGAAAAAAAAGTGAGGAGGGCGCTCCATCATGGTGCTTTTATGACCGTCTTGCCATACTCTCTCCAATGCCAAGTAGCTTCAAACTACATAGGATGACAGGCCTGCAGCCTGAGAGGCAGGCTGTGTTTGTTTTTCTGTAGAATCAAGGCATTCTGTGAATTTGTAATTCAATGTCTGAAGTGTCAGGAAAGGGAAAGGGTGTGCATGTGTTTACAGCAACAGTCCTCTTGCAGTAGGTATGGCTCATGTGTCTTGTGAGAAGTTCCCCCAATAGTATGCAACTCAAAGACTGACTCAAAGTGTGAAAGAGAACTTTGTCTGTGCACTAAGTGTTTGAAGCCATAGTAGGGATGCTGGTGGCCCAAAGTGTTCTCCAGATCTCCCTGCACGATACTGCTCACAATGCTGCTTACATTATAATGAACGAAGCAGGTGGAGAATAAATGCCAGTGTTTAACACCAGTGTTTAAAAAGAGCAGAGCAGGAAAACAAAACAGTCTATGAATCTCCTGCCTGCTCTGCCAGCCCTGCCTCATTTGTCACTTGCCCAGTGATGCTAATCACATTGTTAGGGTTGAGGAGGTGGTACTGATTTAAATCAGCATGCCACCTCACTGGGGGAAGGTGATTAGCGTGGGTGTTCCAAGTGATTTTAATTGGGCTGCATTGGTGGGATTGGTTTGGAGGGGTGCCATATACCCTTATGAGGTGAGGTGTGTACAGAAGCATTCATAACTAAGCATACATGGGTGACGTTTTTGTACCTTGTTGTACATGGTTTACTGTGAGCCGGTGAGATGTTATCAGACCCTGCAGCACAATATTTGTAGCCCAAAGTCATTTATAACAGTTGTAAGATGGTGCTTGATTTTAGCTTTATTATGCTATTTGATTTCAGGTGATAACTTGATAAGCAGCCATCAGTTGACCAAACACAGTCAAACATAAGCCCATTTATTAATTGGTCAACTGACTGAGAAATAGTTGGCAGCAGTTTACCAAGCAAAAATGATCAGATCACACTGAGTGACCAATTTATGCAGAAAACCAGGAAATTACAACAGTGCCATTACTTTTTCTTGCAACTGTATATAGCCTAGACTGTCAGAAAATCAGCTGGCATTAATTTCAGTCATGATTTTGATCTCATTAACATTGGTATTTAAATGCAAAAGAGTGACAGGAACATATTTTTAAGCATGAGCATTTAAAAATCAATATAAGACAGCTGCATATCATGCAAGATTTAAATTGTGACCTATTAATATTGGTGATATATAATGTCGGGCAGCCAAATGAATTTGTTGGAATAATGAGACAGGCAGCACACTATGCTCTTATAGGCAGTTTTTTTTTTTTCTGAGACATGGTTACAACTTAACCAACAGGTTTGAGCTTCTCTCGACCTTAAAGTACATCATGCATCGGACAGTGTCCCTGTTGAAGTGAGTATCCCCCCGACCACAGGGGGAAGTATTGAGCAGATTGCTGCTTGATACACCAAAATGAGGAGAAGAAGATGCCAGACTACCTACTGGTGCTACCTTTTAATTGTAATGTACACAGGCTGACAAAAAATAAAATAGAATCAAATAAAAACAAAGACTCGACTAGAAGAGTCTCAGTTGACTGACAGGTCTCTCGACTAATGATTTAACTGTGTGACTATTAGGGGGCAGCCCTAGTAGAAATGCTAAACCTTGTACTGAACGACATTGTGGATGCCTCACAGATTTTTATTTTTTTAGCAAATTACTGTATGTTAAATGGAAAAAATTGTGGGAAACAGTAATTGATCTGTGGTCCTGAATCTAATCAGGTTTGTATGAGAAGTAAGAATTTTACCCCGAGGATACGGAGAAGGCTTCAGAAATTAGTTTGTTTTCATGGAGTACAAGCAAGTGGTTTCATTTAATAGATGATAACCCACTGTCTTTTCAAAGAGTGATGTGTTCATGTCTCTGTTTTCCCTTGTAAAAGAGGTCGCTGACCTACAACAATTTTCCCTGGTTAAGTGATAAAGGTTAAATGTCATTCAGCTTATATTATGGAAGATATAAGGACATACAGTGGGGCAAATAAGTATTTGATACACCGCCGATCTTTCAACTTTCCCCACTTACAAAGAACGGACAGATCTGTAATTTTCATCGTAGGTACACCTCAACTGTGAGAGACAGAATCTAGAAAAAAATTCCAGAAAATCACATTGTTAGATTTTTAAATAATTAATTTCCATTTTATTGCATGGAATAAGTATTTGATCACAAATACTTATTTGCCCCACTGTATTATGGTAATCTAATCATTCCAAGACATACCCGGTCACTTGGTTTTTGGTTGTTTCTTTCCCCTTTAGTAACCTGCGGTTCCTGATGATAGCACTAGCCTATGCAGTCCCCACAGGAGTGATTGCCGGCTGGTTGGGAGTCCTTGACATGGTCCTTACACCAGCCAAAGTCAGCCAGGTAAGCAGCAAACACAGAATAAAAACATCTGTAAAACAATGCCATTAACAGCAAAAGATGTAGTGGCTATGGATGCACAGGCTTTTCCATGCACATTGTACCAAAAATGCGTGTGAGAAGAAATGCCATTCCTTCAAAAAGGTGCAGTCCTTAGTACTGCTATCTGGACTGCGTCCTGTAAAAATGTATAGACTAGATCAGCACTTGTTCTGCCCAACTAGTTTTCATCTTGATCACACTTTAGGTGGATAAGTTGCAGCCAAGTAGGAACAAAGGTTCATCTTGTATTTCTGCATAAAAATGACGCAGCATGAGTCGTCCATTTGCATGGTTTGATTTTACCGTTTTGTGAACCTCCATGATGCCAGCAATTTGCAAAGCCTTTCAGAAATATAGCCCACACAGGTGAACAATGGGATGAATAGCTGGTAAGGGTTCTCTTCATTCTTGTGGTTGTGATCTTGAAGCATGTTTCAGAAACTAATCATGTTTCTGAGCGTGACGTCTGTTATTGTTCAGTTGGTGCTCTTTAATGGTAATGCACAGAAAGCATGCTCTGCATTTTAAAGCAGATCTGAAATACTGGAATAATTAACCTCAAGGCTCCTGTCCTAACACAGGGTATATTTCAGTACTGAAGCTCCCCTGGCAGCTGAACCTTTCTGCAGTCGTTTGTTAAGTCGCCCTTACCCTCTTGTGAATGCCCTTGGAAGTTCAGAAACACTGTCCCTAACCATACAATAAACACATTCACTCATATTTTTGAACTGAAAAATGATCATCTTTATCGGTGTAATGATTTTCTCTTTTGTTCTGGCTTCCACTCATTGAACCTACTCAGATCTACAGCCCAGCTTTTGTAAAGAGCCCAATCAATCACAATTCACCATTTGGGTGCCTGCTCCCCATCCTCAGTCTGAGACACATAAAAGAGCAAGATACGTTGAGTGGGACTGTCTGTGTGTTGCAGGTTAAAGAAGAAGCTCTGTGTCGTTTGCATATTCCAGGTCTCAACATAGCAGTGAGTCAAAAGACAAAGGGAGAATCTTTTTAAGGTTAACATCAGCCAGGCACAGCTGGAGAGGAGATCACAAACAGGAGAGTGGGGGATGAGATACTTCTCATCACACCTCTATCGTTATACCTCTGTCAAGAGGTAGCATATCTTCTCAAAGGATGTTTTTCTCTCTTCCACATTTGCTAAGAGAATAAAGGTGTGCTACAGTGAGGTGAGCTATGTTAAAGGACAACTCTTGGGTACAAAACTGTGAGCTTAAAAATAAAGAAACACTGTAGTGGTGCGCCTAAACATGAGGTGGAGGAGTACTAATGCAACGGAGGATATCTGAAACTTTTCTTTGTTTTTCAGGCTTTGAGATGTTTCTTCTTAAAGTTAAGTTGAACTGAGGAAAAGCAAATAGTGCCTCCTCTTTTTGCTTCAACTCCCTATGCACCCTCAGAGCCAAATCATAGCTTTAACTCATCCTGTTTTTTTTATTCTGCAATGCGCTTTATTGATTCTGTCAGATCCAAAAACAGTGTGGAATGATGCTGTGCAGGCAATTGAATAAGCATTTCATACAAACAGAAGATGTGATATGTAGAACTTGTTCGTCTTCCTATTCCTGAGCCCCCATGGATTGCACTGGAGCAAACATTTATGATTAGCTCTTTTCTGCCTGCTCTTTCATTATATCTCTGAAATCTTTATGAAAAATGTTACTGAGTCTGACTGATGCTCTGGTCATTTATAAAATTCAGTAAAAGCCTCAGGCACAAAGCATTGTTAGCAAGAGAGCAATTTAATTTCCTCATGCTTTCAAATAATTAGTTCATTCTGGTCCAGAGGGGTGGTTACATGCAGGTGTACTCACAAAGAGATGTGTCCTATACCTTGGTACAGTACTTCTTTCCTCTGTGGGTAATTGCTACATTGTAATGGAACAAATGCCATTATGTTCATGTAGTCTGTGTCAGTCTATTATGATATAAAGTGTGCCTCAAGTTAGCAGTATCTGTACGCAGCAGGATTGGACCTAATGCATCCCACCTACAGTATATTACAGTATATGCCAGTTTCCAGCCATCTGCCTCTCCTAGTTGAATGGTTCCGTCTACTTCTGGAGGTCTCTTTCTTCCCCATTTCCCTGCCTTTCATGTCACCCTTACACATTTCTAGTAATGGCCTCTGTGTTGTATGTGCATTTTGTTTAATTTGCTTGTTTGTTTATTTTTGTCATGGGACAGTGCATGCTCATCAACGCTAACGTTAACAACAGCTCTTGTAGTCCTGTCCTTCTGCCAGTCCATCACAGGGGGCGCCACACGTAGACATACAACCATTCAACCTAACCTGCATGCCACACATTTCACACCTTTTAACATTCTACCCCTGCTTCAGGTAGTCATTTATCCTTAATGGTTTTCAAGATCTTGCTTCATCTTGCCTCTGTTCTCTACTTTTCTTTTTCTTTGTCAGCGTTTTTCTTTCAGCTGTTTCTTAAGGGCTCTTTCAGAAATATATATTTATATACACACATCTATCATCCGTTTATTCAGCTAGCGACCTAGTGTGATTGAGAGGTGACCGTGGCTGCTGTGAGGTAGCAGGAACAGTTCTCATGAGATTAGACAAATGTTGCTGTCTACTTTCTAAGACTTGATTTTAAAAACAAACTTGTAGCTGTTACACAGCTCAGGGTTCTAAAACTGTTGTCACCATAGCTGTCATGCTGTGACCAGAGAAGACCTGGAAACAGCTTGTAAGGATTGATTCAGTAAATGAAGAGGAGACGCGCAGGGATCTGCTGGCTGGCAAACTGTACAGCAGGAAGTGATCTGGCAGAAGCTAGGCTAGGAACGTTAGCACGGTTTTGGTGATTTGAGCGTGACTACATATTGAGCATGGATTGGATACATGGGCATGGATTTCCAAGTAAGATCTTGTAAAACCACTGCCTTCCTGGGATTTGAAGATCTGTTGTGTGAGCTTTACAGGAGAAAATGTGGTCTTGTAAAACCACTGCCTTCCTGGGATATGAAGATCTGTTGTGTGAGCTTTGCAGGAGAAAATGTGGTAGCTCTGCAGACAAAAGGGTTAAGCACGGAGCTTAGCATCACTTGAATGAGTATGACTCAGGAAACACACTGTAGTGTGCTTATCATCATACAGGTGTGTACAGGTGGTTGTTCTCTTAATGGAGACAATCCATCTAGATTACACAGAACTGGAAGTACAAACCAGTGTGCTGCTTTTAATTTTATTCCCTTACAGAACCACTTGTGAAGTGCTGGGGAACTTGAACTGTCAGAATTCATGCTTTGCCTTCACACGTAACACTTCTCTGCTACTAAGGACTGTTTTGTACCTGTTTCTGGGATGACATAAAGTGACTTGGAGTAAGAGAACCATGTTGAATGAAAGCTAAGGAGAAGGTCTTTGTTGATTAGCTAAAAATAATGTATAACTGGGAAAGAAAACTAAGGAAGACAAATACAGTATGTTAATCTGACAAGAGCCTGAGCTCCTGGGGTTCCCTGCCTTAACACCAGTCATCTCCAGCTGATTTGTTTAGCTAGCTAAGTTGGTACACAAACATAAGTGATACTACACATCTTAGAAACCTTTGCATTGGTGCTGCACAGCCTACATAGATAGTAAGCAGCAGTTGTATGTACCATCTTGTTGAGGGTGCTTAAATGTTTGTCAATCAGATATTGTGATCTTATCATTTAGTAGGGAATAGGCAGTTCACCTCACCATGCAAAAAATAGATGTGTGCCTTTCTGATGAGCTTTTGCATCTTACCAAAGGCTGGCCCCCATAGAACACTCAGATGGATGTCATTTAGATCAAATATAATGACATTTTGGCATTCATCACTTACTAAGCTAGAATACATTTTTCATCTAATAACTTTGATAGTCCACTTTTCTTCATTATAGACTTTCCTGACGGGTCACTGCAGAAAATGATTAAGCAAAAAGCATCAGATCCTACTTTGGTTTCTGTTCCTTTGCTATCGCGCCCTCCATCTGGTTGGATTTGGTTGAATATGAGTTATTGCCTCAGGAAGATTGATGGAAACCAAACACCATCATTGGCACTCGGATATGTTCTCTCCTTGGTGCCATGCAGCGATTGGTTTTGTGTGTGTCTGTTTGTGCATATGGGCACAGATATGCTACACTTTACCACATACTGATTTTCTGCAGTCCATTGGCCGTAACGTGCTCTCTCCTGCCTTTAAGACCAAGTGTACAGCACGTGTAGGCCTTGGTCCATGTAAATAAGACAGGCCAACGATCATACACAAACACACATGACCTGCTGGTCTTATAGCAGTGCTGCCGTCACCAGACAGTGACTTTAGGCAATCAGTGCTTGCTTTTTGTCTAACCGTGTCCTCACAGTCAGATTGTGTGCTGAACACTGAATAATTTCCTCTCTTCTAATGAAACTAGGACTATGTATGGTATGAAAAGGGCACTGTATACCAACATGAAAGCATCATCCCAATGCTTAGCTGCCGCTGGGCATGGACAACTGGTCATCACAGGAAAAATGAACTCTCAAGTTTACCACGGTATCTTACAGGATAATGTCAGTGTCTCTCTGTGAGCTGATGCTCAGTAGGAGATGATGCAGTTAATTTTCTGCAAAATGACCTCAAACAAAGAAACTCCACCTTTTGTTGTGGCCAAGTCAGAGCCCAGAGCGTAACCCAGTAGAGACGCAGTGAAATGAGCTCAGAGCCACCCACACACCAGACGCCCTACCAAGGCAGTTCTGAGGAAGAATGGTCCAAAATTCGTCCTTGTGCAGTTCCTGATCCACAGCTACAAGAAGTATTTGTTTGAGGTTATTACTGACAAAGGAGGTTCGACCGCTTATTAAATCCAAGGGTTCACTTACTTTTTCCATCAGCACTGTGAGTGTTGGAATGAGCATTTTCAGTAAAGACACAAAAGATTAAGCAGTAAATGTGTTATTAGCTTAAGCACATTGTGTCTGTACTTGTGACACAGATGAATATCACATCACATTTTATGACCATTTACTGCAGAAAAGCTGTTAATTCAAAACTGTTTAGGTTTATGTCTCTGCTTTTTGCCACTCATTTAGTTGTATTACCAGGCAACCCTGCACATCCTGAGTGTAGTCGTTCAGATGAGAAACAGCACCATAATTGTGGCTTTCCCCTTTGGAGTGATTTGGGGATTGAGCTCCAAGTGAAGGAGCTCTCTTCCATCTACTTGGTGTTTGTCAGTGAACATGCAGTAGCCATTAGAAGTACAGTCTCACAAGCTATTACCACGTTTACTTGAACCCTTTGAGACTTCATGCTGAACACTCTTTAACTCACCTCCCATTTTTCCCCTACACAGATGGATGCAGGCTGGATTGGTTTCTGGTCGGTTATCGGTGGATGTGTGTTTGGAGTGGTAATGGCCAGGTAAGCTGTACCTCCCTTCTATTTTTTTATTCTATGTCCTTCTCTTTTCTGATCGTTACAGCTTTTAAGTGAAAACTAAATGACAATTTAGTCTGATAAGGCTAATGCAACATAGCTTGGTGAAAATTTGATGGACCCAATGAGGCTTTAAATGAGAAAATAAGCTGAACCTGACATATTCCACATGTGATCCTCAATGCAGTGTTGTCTTTACAGTGGTCAGAATAATAGACAATTCAGTGATCACAACATGGAGGAAAGTTACAGCCCCTATCTGCTAAATAAAGGCACTGAAAAATATGTTTAGATTCTTTTGCTTGACTCTTCTATGTAACACTGAGAATGTTCTGTGGAGGTAAGGGATGTTATTTGTTAGAGCAGCTATTCCCAGGGACGCCATCCAAGTTAGATTTTTTTTTTCCAACATGTCTGCAACTTTAATAGAAACTGGAAGGTTAACACAAAAGATGGAACAAGCTAACCTTTAATTCAGAGTGAAAATAATTGATTCATATTCTGCATGATGGCCTTGCCTGAGCCTCTGCTACCTGAATAACATGATTAGAAACTAGTACCTTCTGAATGGTGGCATGGAATAGTTCTGTTCACTTGGCAAGCATACACAAATATTGTACTTTGGTCCATTCCCCTGTCACTAGGGACGTTGTACAGTTTATAACGTTATTAACTAATAAATCTCATCTAAAAAACAAACAGTGGAGGGTCAATGTGCTCCCATCATCTAATCTACTTTCTTTTAATATACACTCTGAATCAGGCGCCGCTGCCATAGAGTGAGAACGGATTCTAATGCAAATGCTTTTCCATTGACGAATAGGGAGCCACACTGCAAAGACAAAGCGTGGAGTCTGCAAAAGCAACAGATTGATTCCTGCTCTGACAGATATGTTTACCACAGGCTGAGGCCCAATCAGCACTTCAAGGCAGGCCCAGTGTTTTCTTTAAGTTGTAATCAGGGAAATGAGCCCATAACTCCCACTGTTAATCAATGAAGCTGTTTGCAGCATGAGATGAAAGTGAATGTAAACAGAGCAGTTGAATTATTGGTGTTGATTACATGGACTCTGAGTGTGTGGAGGGACTGATTATTCTCTCTTTGGTGCAACAGTTGATAGTTAAATGAAATTCAGCTTCAGCCACGAGTCACTTGATCTAACTGTGCTGGATTTGGTTGGTAGAGGCTGGGTTTGAACCTGTCTTAGTCTCTGATTATGTCTGGGAGTTGTGGTTAGCAGTGGTAGAAATGATCCTTTATTGCATTTTCCCATTTAGTTTCAGTTGACTCTCTAGTTGTTTTGATTTATTTTTATTAAGCAGACAAACTTCTGCACTGGTACAATGAGTTGTCAGTCATATCATTATTTAGAATTTCAAATCCATCTGTCAGAATAAATAGTAATACAGGTTGAAGCCAACACTCTTACCTTGAGGTCAGCTATTGTGATTTTATCATGATCTGTCAGAGAAGATAGAAAAGCCCAACGTGACAAAAACCATAAAGCAGATCATTGTTTCATCACATCAATTTTAAAGCCCTTATTTTCCTGTGCACCTGAACCACATATTGTACACCTGTATTTGTGTAGCAGAGCTACAGTGTGCTAAGGTGAGTAGGACTGACATATTAACCTGTTGTGATTTTGAAGCTGCTGCTCGTGGGTCATGCACAGAGAGAAGCAGCATCATCAGTCACCAGGCTGATGGCTCTTCTCCTCAGGTTTACTCTTTGATTGTGAAGAGCCCCTAGATGCAGGTTTAAAACCTCAGAAACAGAAGAAATTAAACTGTCTTTAACTTCTCTCTCTCCACTCCCTTCAAACTAAATGTTTCCCCCCTCTGCTCTTTTCCTTCTCCTCCTTCATCAAGTTGCTGCAACAAGGCCTCATTAGATACATTCCCAGGAAAACTGGTGGCAATGAATTGAGCAGAGAGCAATCTTTGTCCCCTTTCTTGTCCTCTAGCAGTCCTTAAAATGTCAGGATGTGACTTCTTATGTGCCCTGGTCTCTAACTAACCCTCTTCCCGTACAGTACCAAACCAGTGCTTGGCACGGCTGACCCCTTTAAATGCTGTTTGTGCTGCAGGTGTTGCTTCATATGTTAAGTGGCTTATACTTTTGGAAAACTGAATTTCTTAGGGAATCGCCACTTGTCCTTTGCCAAAAGAAAAAGAAACTGGCTGCTAGCAAACATCTCATTACCTGTGTCTTGCCAGTAGATAGTTGAATGGCAGGCAGCTTAAAACAGCAGATTCACTTAGTGGTGATGGATGCTTTCGGGTGTGGCACCATCATGGAAACATTTGACTTATAATCTGGTAGCACTGTAATTGTGTGGCCCAGACAGAAGCTGATTGGAAGACGGTGGCATGCTGCACACCTTTTTCACAGATTGGGGAAGGTGGAAAGTATAATTAATGAGAGTTGAGAGTCCCTCTTTACCTCCCCATAGAAACCCTGTGAAAAGAGGAGGAATAGGGGGTGTATGAGGAAGAGGCAGCAGAAAACAAGACCAGGTATTCTCCTTCGTTTGCAAATAATACTCCAAGTTAATGAGATGAGATAGAGCAAACACACATGGGGATCAGCTAGTGCCTAATTTGTTTTGCCGGTAAACAGGGACAATTTGTGATTGCATGCTGGTCCTCGAACCATTTATATCTGTTTGGTTATTTACTGCAAGTACCTCACTAAAATGTAGACAGGCCCAAGTGATTCTATCACCCTGATGATATTTCATTATACCCTGAAGTCACTGGGAGAGCAGAAAATGGAATCTGATTCTACATGGCTTGAATGATGCTATCTTTATGTCCAATAAATCCTGTTAGAGGATTTTAAAAGATAGGCTTTTAATTCTGACATTACCTCATCAGATAACGGAGCTCTGAATTACATCCCGGAGACATGAAAACATTTGGAGCAAAGTGTTAGATTCTGCAATATTATGAAATATTTTTATACTTTCCCACCATGTTTGTGGCAAGCCCTCCTGTTTAACTAAGGGCATGAATTAAAGAAATGGTGACATATACAGTTTCATTTTTACAGAAGGTGCTGTCTTTTCTTCATCAACTCTGCACCATTTTAAACAAATTTTATGTTTGGCCTGTGGATTGATACACATCTAGGGCTCTAAACTGTAGATGTGGGACTGAATCAAAATATACTGCAACAGCTGTTTCTAGTGTATTAAAGAAACATTTCACCCAGTGTGTCATTGTAGCTCACTGATGTGCTTTTAATTGTTTTTGGACAACAATGGAGCTCTGTGGGCCCGAGGAATATGATACTGTAGATCAGGCAAGACAATAAAAATGAAATCAAATATCACTCATTGGATGTTTATATTACTGTTGGTGGTGACCAGTGGGCTTCAAAACCTGAGCTGGTGTATGTTCCCCTTTGCATTAGGTTAATTCAGACTGTTTCACACCTAATTCATTGTCCCAATCAGTGACCAAGCTCGTTATCAAGAGGGCTCAGGGACCATCAGAAGTTGAGCACAGCCAATAAGCTACTTATGGTGTTTCGGCCTAGAGGATTGATTGGAACTGAGACAGTGGAGTAGCTTGTGATCCTCTCTGCAAAGAGGGCTTGGCTGGGACTTGGCTGGCACCAGGGGTGGTTTAAGGGTTGCGGATGCAGGCCAGGCAGTGGCAGATGGATGATGCCGATTTGAAGGGTGTAGCTGTGGGAAGGGAACCCAGTGTCAGGCACTTGGCCGTCTGACTAGACTGCTTATTCCAGTGCTAACAACTCATTCTTGAAAACAGAAATATGACCACTGTTCTTATGAGAAGAGGCCCACCAAATGTATCATGTTATGCCTGTTGGCCTGCTCTAAACTCTCTCACTTTGATTTCAGTGAACAACAGCTCTTGGAATCCCAGGAGACAATGTCATCTAAAAACAGCACCTCACATTGGTCTGAGTTGATATGTTCTCATTATCCATCCAAATGATGATTTCCCTCGTCCCCCTGACCCTCAGCAGAACTGACAGGACATAACAGCCTAGCTGAACTAATAAACACTTTGTTTTTATTCTTGCATTAAGTTAATTGTTGAGTTCCGCCCTCTTTTCTCAAGCATCTTCTCTGTGAGCAACAAAACAAAAGTAATTACTCTGCCTTTGCTACCGGCTTCTGTAGCTTCATCTAATCTTTCAGAAGCATGCATCTACATACCCAGAGGAGCAGAGAGGAGTTAATGAACTATGAGGATTTAGAAAAGGCTGCAAAGAAAACCCAGAGTGCTCAAGAGAGTTTAAAAATGGCCCAGTGGCTTGTCTTCCACAATATAATACAGTGTGCATCTCAAGTCTTCCTGCTTAGCGAGCGGGACAAATTGAATCAACTCTTGCAATAATGACAAGTACAGCTGATGCACTCAAAGTGGGAGAAGGAAATGATCTAGCCATTCACAAGGCATGTCTCCAGTAATAGATTATGACACAAGTCACAGAAGAAGCTGACATTGAGAAATTGGATAGTTGCTCATTGTGTTTATGAAAGATGGCTCTTGTTTCTGAAGCAGCAGCGTTTACTCACTTTAGCAATCTTGTCTGCTTTTTGTCCCCGTCTTTGATATTCCTTCATTCTTACCCCCCCCCAGATTTGCAGACTCTATTCATGGGATGCTGAAACTCATCCTGGTGCTGATGCTGGCAGGAGCCTCACTGTCCTCTACTTGGTTCACACTTACCTGTTTGAGCAGAATCACTCACCTCCCCTCCACTACAGGTGGGTTCACTTCAGCATCACTGGCATTGTAACACTGCATACAGGCTCTGCAGTTTGGAGGCCCTGATACTTCTCAGCCAGATGAATTCAGTGGGTAGTTCAGTGCACTTGCTCAGATAGACTTTTGAAAGGCAGGTCAATCCACCCTGAATTATTACAAAGATTTGCAGAGGGCTGTACCACAGGTGCATTTCAGCTAATAGACAAAGACCAACCTGGAACTGTGATGATAAGACTGAACTGTCGACTTTCAGCTTCAATTCAGTGCTATTCCTTTGGAAAGCTGTTGCACTGGTTCATTGTTATACATGAGATCCAAACTTACCAGGGATCTGCCCATCAAAACAATGCTCCATGTTCCACTTGTGGTCAAACACTTCTTAGGGAATCTTTTTAATGTGGTTGAAATGTCTTTGTTGTACATAATTGCTGCAACCCACAAACATCTGCAGATACAGTATCTATCTTCGCTGACGCCATCACCACACTGAACGCCACACTGAAGTCACATGCCCAGGTGACAAAGTTGCTCACTATAGCTTATGTTTTGTGGAATATTTGGAAAGCTCACTTTGTGCTGCTCCTGGGTTTAATAATGTTTCATTTAATATGTTTATATCTGTGTGTGTGTACACAGATGTGCGGGTGTGCATGTGTTAGTACATGAGTAGTTTTTATTGAGCCCCGTTTTAAGGCAGAGCACTCGAGTTTCATTGTATATACCATACACTGATAATAAAAGAATCTTGAATCACTGTCATGTCTGCACTGCAGCCAGCTTCACTTTTTAGTTTTGGAGCATTTTTCCTTCAGTTGGTCTTCAGCAAGGATCAGCTGGATCTGGGTCATGTGACTAATTTGGCCACTTAAGGACATTTCCCATTTTGGCTGACTTGTCACCATGTTTTGGGTCCTTGTCCTGCTACATGGTCCTAAAATTTGATAACTATGTTTAAAACATACGCTGTTCACCAAGCAGCTCAGTCACGACCATAAAGTAAACCAAGTGCTGGAGCACACAGCACATTTTCTAAATACTTATGCACTGCCCTGTACATTTGGTACATATTCAGCAGAACCAATCCATTAGTACATGTCAGTGATAAACCCTTTAGGGACATTAGTGGACTTAGCTGTCTTTTCCTAAGCCAAATCAATAATCATACCAGCATGTCATTTAAAGCCACTGATTTTAGTCCATCATCATCCATCATCGCTTTCCAAGCTCTGGCACTGCTCTCTGTGTGCCACATGCCCTCTTATCCCAGATATTGGCAGTCTGCAGCAGCCAGGCTCCAACCTTGTTAATCCGCCTGCCATGTCATACCAGGGTTGCACGATAATGTGACAAAATCTGCCAAAACTCATCATTATGTCATTGTGGATGGTCAGTAGCACACACACACACACAGATGAGGTTTACCTGCAGTTCATGTGAACAACTGACCAGTCCTTCAAAAAACAAAATCATTTGTGTATTAGATGTGACTGGTGTCTTTTTGTCGTGGCTGTATATTCTGTTTTATCTCGTCTTGAGTCCAATGAGGTGCATGTACATCCTGTGTTCCTCTGCTGCTGTGCTTATGTCTCCTTCCTTCCTAGAATCATTTGGGAATTGGTGCCAAATAGGCCAGTTAAATAATGTAAGAGGAGAAGCGCAGTGGTTGAACCGCCCCTAAGTGTTTGATATCAGCGCTTCATTAGGGCTGAATAAAGATGAACAGGGGAGAAGCCTGCCTTTAATAACTGCACAAGTGGCGCCCGTGTTCCTCGTTCCAGGCAGGGAGGTGGGCACACGAGGGCCCTCAGAGGAACTCTGATTAAAGGGACATGCAGGCTAATGGGGAGCTCATTTGGATCAATCTGCTGCGATAAGGGAGATGGAGGGTGTCGTGATTCTCCACAAGTGGTGGTTTAATCTCATATCTAGTCTAATGTACATTCCCACACTTTACCGCAGGTCCCGACAAAGACTGCAGCTGAGACCACACCCTGAGATGACCTCTAATGCTAATATGTTAAAAATCAAACATTGCTAGTCCAAATTATTCAGACACTTTGTTGTGGCGCTCCACACTGTGGTCGTCCTGTTTGCTTTAGTTTTTCTTCATGTATCTTGGGCGACTTGTTGTTTTGGTTGCAAACGGGCCTTTTCCCTTTCTAATAAATTGCCACCTTAAGGGGTGGCATGCTAAAAAAATGTTCTTTTGGGATGAGGGCTTGTCATAAATCTCAGTGCTGTGGAGAACAAATGATTCAATAGGAAGTTTTAGAAGGTGGCATAAATCACCATTGATCTTCCATTATATTGACCAGTATGCCATCTTTCTAAAGAGTTGCTCAGGTCTTTCTTTTGCCCTTTCACAGCCATCCTGTACACTTCATGCATCCTGATCGGCATTTTTATCAACAGCAGTGTGCCGATATTCTTTGAGCTCTTCATCGAGACAGTGTACCCTGTCCCTGAAGGCATCACCTGTGGAGTGGTCACTTTCCTGGGGAACCTGGTCACCGGACTGCTCCTTTTCTTTCTCACTTTCTACTGCAAAGGTAGGATAAGAGTGATGTATGTGTCCAACAGAGGATGTGATGAAATCCCTGTTGCTATATTAATGTTTTCCAAATATAAATTCATTCTTTTACTTTAATTTTCTGTATGCACTGTATATTTAGTCTCATGGGGTTAGAGTAACACCACTTAAATATTTACTTAGTAGTAGAAACCTTGTGTCCCCCTGCAGGTTTCTGTCACCTTCCAGAAGCCACAGGCACCATTATTTTCAAAAATCCAGTTTAAGTCCTGAAGAGATGCTGCAGATAAAAGGAGGACAATTAGATTTGACACATTCAGCACAAAGAAAGAAAATCTTCCTATTGTAATTTAGCTTGAGATTTATCTTTGGCTTGTCTCCCTGGCAGAGTTTGATATAATAATTTAGGCCCACAGCAGAGAGGACAGCATGTCTTCTGCTCCTCCTCTGCCTCTGTGGCTTTCACAGGAGAAAGAAATTCTGAGCTCAGTCGTGTGTGAGAGAGTACATTGTTGTGTGCATGTGTGTCTGATCTTTGTCTACCTCCTGTGGCGTCATTTTCCTTTTCTATAGGTTTGGCTGCATCACAGTGTGAATCAGCTGGAAAGCCAGATACACACTGCTTCTATCGTTTGTTTGAGTAAATAACCAATATATTTACAGACCCTCATAAATATTCACGTGCCTCGTCCTGCTCCTCTGCTGACAACACTATTTGATCCTGCCTTCTGGCTTGTCTTGCCAGCACAGTTAGATCTGATTCTCATTTTGTCCCAACCAGGCTAGGAAATGGACTTGATGGGAGCGGCAAAGAGTGGTTAGGAGCAGCTTCTGGTGTCAGGTTTGAGTCCCACTAGACCCTCTAGGCTGGAAAGAAAGAACGTTAAAGAACCGTAGTGTGACAGCTAGACTGAAACACAATGTACCGTTGGTGCAGATTTAGCTCAGTAGGGGGAGTCTGAAGGGTTTGAGATTCAAGCCAGAGGGATGTTGAGTGGTTTAGTTTAATGAATACATCGCACATAGATTATGCTGTCTGAAAATTGTGCTCCAGATGACAAGCAATGTATTTAGAATTTTCTGAACCGGTAGTTTGTCAGCATGGTGATAAACCATAGATTAGACAGCAATATACCCGAGGTGGATAGACGGAGCTTTGCAGTTGCAGAGACATACATACCAACACACAGTCACAAGAGTAGGACTCGTAAAGAATACATGATGTATCCTCTGCTTGACACGCTGCGGTGCTTTTTGATAGACTGACTGCTTGGCTGTTTCAAGTTGTGTGTCCTATGGTTTGTGTATAGTGGTGCACTTTGTTTGTTGCTGTGGGTGCATATATGAATGTGCTTGTTGTGGAAATGCCAGCGTGCGTCTGTGTACACTACATGTGTGTGGGGGTGAGCCGAAGGGCGTCTGATATGCTGAGATGGCTCCTGACAGCTTCCCTGCGACAGCTGGGGGGAGGATCAAACTGAGATGATGGAGGCTTTGGATGCTCTTTTCTTCACTTCCCACCATGAAGTTGTTTGATTATGATCCATCAAGAACGTTCACACATCTGCAGACATGTTCATGTGAGCTTGCAGATGCTACCTGAGCAGTAGATGGCCACTTGGCCAACGTTCTACTAACACAAAGTGTAGCTACCAAGTAGTTTGGAGGTTGTTGTTTCCACCACATCAGCAGGTCAGAGCTGAAACAGCTGAGCGATAAATCAGTGTAGTGATATTAATGTTGTAAAGTTCAGTATCCTGTGGGCTTTGGTGATAATAATAATAGTAAGATGTATATAAGAATGAGGCTGGTGTTACTCTGTAGGTTTGTTACTGTGAATTGAACATTTGTCTGTCAGTTTTAATCCACTGTGTTCTTATCCAAGATAAACATTTAGAAAACCAGCTCACAAAAGTTTGCTTTAAAAAAGATTTGAATGAATTTGTGCAGACAAAATAAAAATCAGTGCTCACACCATTGTTAAGAAATTAAAGATATTTTTTTGCCTTAGATCTCCATCACCTTACTAATTCGTTTGTCCAAGTAAGAAACATTTTTGCTTTAGAAAACTCATTTTATGGATTGTGATGAAATCCTCCAACTATATGTTTTAAAAGAGTTTGATATTTCTATTTCCCCATCTCATTAAGTAAATATACAGTAATTGTATATGTTATTTAGTTAGAAGACTCTAGTCTGTGTGTACTCTGAAAATCAAAGTCTAAGACAATGAAAATGTCTAGCCACTGAAGGTAGGGACTTAAAACAGTGCACGTTTCCTGCCCTGTTTGGAAATCAGCTGCACTCTGCTCTCCTGAAGAGATCACTCCTGTGAAGATTAATTTGATTATTATGTAAAGTCCCCTTGGAAATATTCTGATGTGCTGTCTCATTACTTGAATTTCCTCTCTGCAGTCTCATAATGGATGTGGCAAATAATATACAGACTTCAGAAATGATTAATTCTGCACGAGTCTTGTCTTGTCTCCTCCTGATATTGAAAATTGGCAACTTCTGCCTTTGAAGATTTCCTTCTGTTTCCAGTTTATTTTAGGGTTTTCCTTCTGGCTGCCCACTGCCTCCTTATGCATTCAGAGTTATTGCTCTTTGTCCCTACAAGTGGAGAGCCATTTATGAATTTACCTCCTTGTCCATTTTAATATCCATGAGAGGCCCGTCTTGATTCAGTGAGCCCTAACTGGTCTCTCGACTCTGTTGTCGTGTATTAAAAATCCCCAAAGTTTCTGAACCATTTGGCTCAGAAGCATGAAAGGAGTCTCCAGGCTGTATATCAGGCTTGTTGCTTTTTTAAAATGATTTCATCTGTTGTGAGTTTGTGTCATTAAGCACAGAGCATAAAGGAGAATACAAAGCAGAAAGGTTTAGTGGTGGAAGAAGAGGAGAAACAAGAGGAGAGGGGGTAACGTC